GAGAGAGAGAGAGAGAGAGCTGACGAGGGAGGGAGGAGAGGTCCTTCGCTCCCAGGTACCTCAGACGACAATGGCCGCCGTGCTGGCTCAGTCGCCCTGCTGCTGCTCCGCTTGCCGCTGCACTAATGTTGCGCTGCCGCTGCTGCTCCTTGCTCGCTCCTACGCTAAACTTAGCGCATCAAACAGCGCTCTGGCGCTGACCATAACGCACCGGTAGAGTGCCGGTGGTTCGATGCCTCCAAGTGAGGCTGTACCAGTACTTTATACCGGTGGGGCAGAGGCCGGCCTCAATGCTGCGAGGCCTGGCCATGCCCTGAACCGTCCAGATGGACGGTTCAGCCCCAACCGGTGGGCGGCAGCCTCAAGAGCGCCGCCAAGCCCAAACGATAATGCCGTTTGGGCCTGCCCGTTGGGTACTGGTCTAAGATCAGGTCCTGAGGGCCTGTAATACCCCAAGGTCGGGCCTTTAGGCCCTGATGTGTCCTTCCGGCCCTAAGTCGGGTCCGGTAGGACCCGTGTGCGTCGAAGATGTAACACACTCCCCCTCTTAAAAGACCGAGCTACCTGCGAGGGCGAAGTTGTCTGTCCGATACCGGGGTGGGTCGGGCGGGACGAGCTGCGTCCTTAGCAAGGCGTCGCTTCTCATAGTCGGCGAAGATGAGGGGTGCAGAAGTCTGCAAATCTGTAATGGAGATCCACCGAGTGTCATCAGGCGCACATTGCTTGAATGTGACTTTGTACTGCCTTGGCTTGTTGCCGTACTTGCGGTGCGTGATGACTCGGTCAACTTCCTGATGTCCGTCCATAGAAGGCGGATCCTGTGGTCGACGTCGAGGGAACTCGTCAGCTGAAGGTGGCGTGTAGATGGCCAGCTTCGATGCGTGGAAGACCCGATGCACTGTCAGGTGCGGTGGAATGTTGATCACGAAGGAAGGACCTGCGGGGTCGTCTCCAACGACAGAAGTGACTTCCCATGGTCCGAACCATTTCGGAAGGAGTTTGCRCGAAACATCCTGCTCGAGCGCGAATTCCTCGGAGAGGACCCAAACAAGGTCTCCCTCGCGGAAAGGACATGGAAGTCGACGTCGGTTAGCTTGCTGCTGCATGCGGATCTGAGCCTTTTGCATATTTGTGCGGGCTTTGATCAGCAAGTCCCGGTACTTCCGGACGGAAGCGGGAGAGCAAGGGACGTCTATGTCGGCAACCTGTGGCAAAAGGAGATCAGCGAAGATCCGTGCTTTCTCTCCACCATGATGTAACTCGAATAGTGTGACGCAGATCGTCGGGTGCACCGAAGTATTATAGGCGAACTCGATGTCGGGAAGCCGGTCAACCCAATCTTTCTGGTCAGGACGGATGAGCGTACGCAACATCATCTGAGCGGTCTGGTGCGCTCGTTCCGTCTGACCATCCGTCTGCGGGTGCCGAGCCGAGCTCGGTTTCATTGTCGTACCGGACTCAGCCATGAGGGAAGTCCAAAAGGCAGACATGAAATGAGTATCTCGGTCGCTCACTATGTCTTCCGGAACACCTTGGTTGGTAATCCAACCGGTGTGCAAAAGTCGTGCGAGCTCAGGTGCTGCAGCATGATACTTGCAAGGAAGGAAGYGAGCATACTTGCTCAAACGGTCAACGACCGTGAGAATACAGTCATGGTCGTGGCGATCGCGGGGAAACGGGCCTGTCACGTCCATAGCAATGGAGAGGCGTGGTGCCC